TGTCTGAAAAGAGGGAAATGCAGAGTTGAGGTTGCATGGGCAACCTTATTCAGCATTGTGCCCCATAACAAACACCGCTTCATTCTGCCAGCCTGATAGTCCACCTCCTTTTACAACCCATACACTCTCATTTAACTCTGCATTAATGGAGTTTTTTGCTATTTAATTTCCTAGTTTTTTTAATCAGGAAAAATGTCAGTAGTCATTTGGGCAGTTGTACATACCAGGTCCTGCAATCAGTCGGCAATCCTCATGTCATGATGTACTCCTTGCTCTACAACAAACTCCTGCAACCTCGTGATCCAGGTATGTTGGCAACCCTGGAAGTGCACATAGATTTCTTTTCCCTCAGTGGTCAAGGTACCTGTGCTGTGAGTTTCAAACCTCTGCACTGTCTGTCTTTGAAAACCCCACGGTATTCTGCCCTAAGATCAGGAAGTGGCCACTGGCACCCCCACTGGCAAGTGAAATACAGATTTTTTTTTTTTCCCCAAGCAACAATCCAAGGTTTGGCTACCACCCATCCTCATTACCCAACCCATCTGCAAATGCAACCTCTTCCTCTCCCTCCCACCTCACCTACACAGTCCTCTGCTTCCATCTTCTCCCCATCCAATATAAAACAAATTTTGGTTAGACCGACTGCTGATTATCCTGTTGTTGTGTTCATAGTAAGCCTTCCCATAAAATAAAGTCTTGTATTATAACAGAGAACTTGTAGCAAGCAACATGAGTTATTTAATTCTTTATTGCACAGCTGTACAAAGGTTCAGACTAGAAATATCAGTGACAGGGTGTTCACCAGGGCAATGGCATTGGCACATTCCCTCAAACTACTCAGGCATCCATAAAATGGCTGCATAGAAACTCTCTCACAGTTTTTTCGTTATTGGCTGTAATCCTGCCATACTGCATGTCTGGAAGCAAAGAAGTGAATGTGTTCTTAAATACCATTCACAATTTGGGTCCCCCAAACACTTAATGGGAGCCATGAACTACCTTGGGTAAAAAATGACCAATGGAGACCATTTTGACCTGCATAACTGCAATAGTTTGATCTCTAGCTCTGCATAAAAACAACCCACCTAGAAACTTTGGAAAAATGGCTGTTTTCCTCCAGAACCCCAGGCTCAAATGGCCCCAAATGTGGGTCACTCCCACAAGTTCTAGCAAATTGCAAGAATATCCATGCGAACATTCAGACTTCAGAGCACTTAGAAGCCTCAGCTTTAAACAAGGGTAGTGGGATGATGGCAGGAAAGGGGTCCCCTGCACATCCCTCTGCAGCGTAGGAGGCTCTGAAAGGTGTGAAGTGGCCCAGTCCTGTCAGTGTGAAGCTCTCGGCTAAACGAGAACACCCCATGGAGGTGAGTGCCACCTGAAACAGCTGTGTGTGTCAATGGCTCCATTCACCTTAGTGGGTGTTCCCATCCCGCTCCTGAGTGCTTTCCAGCCTGCGATATGCATGAAGTAGACTTGTTCTCAGCTCCCCAATCAAAGGGGCAGGACTTCCCCAGATACTGGTTCATGTGGAGTGCAGGAAAGAGGACTCATTCACTTCTAAAAGGGCAACCCTTCCCCCCAAACCTGGCTTACATGATGCTGGGGGAAGGGAAGATCCAACCCTCATAGATTAATACAGGGCCCTCAGATCCTGGCACACATAAGGGGGCAGCAAGAGGGGCTCAGGCACCCAGAGGGGCATGGCATCTAAATCCCAGATCATAAGAGGAGGGGCTTAGATCTCCCCTAGAGGGTTAAGAGCCCTCTAGCCCTCGGCATACAGATAGGGGGAGAATGTGGGGCTGACAAGTGCCGCTGCTCCTCCTGTCCCCTAGATCCTGCCACGCACCCTCACATCCCCTTCCTAGTGCCTGATCCCTTCACTCCCCCAAGCCTCCCTCAGCTGAGACCCCAGCCTCTCTCCCCCGCATTCCAGTTTATCCTCCTCCCCATAATACCCCTCCCTTGCTGCAGCCCCAAACTCCTCACCCGCTAATCTCCCACTGTTCTGCCCCCTGCTTTCCCCCTCACTGCCCAGGAAGCCTTCACGTGTCTGATTTTTCTCCCAAAGACTTTGGGCAGGGGAGTGTGGGGGGATGGTGTGCAGTGGCAGAGCTGGGGCTCAAGGGGCTTGGTGCATTGGGTGAGCTGTGGAGTACACAGGGGTTGGGTGCCCTGGTAAAGCTGGGGCTGCAGGAGAGTCGGGGTGCTCTGGCATAGCTGGGGCATGCCATGCCTTCCTCACCTGAGTCTCCAACATCCCCTGCCTGCCCTACCATCCACCCCTCATTGCAGCCCAAACCCCTATTCTTCCTCTTCTCCACTCCTAATACACTTCCGCACCCAGGACCAGATGACTGGAGGGTAGCTAATGCAAGGCCGATTTTATTTATTTATTTTTAAGAGAGGCTCCAGAGGCGATGCTGGCAATTACAGGCCAGCAAGCCTAACTTTAGTACCAGGCAACTTGGTTGAAACTATAGTAAAGAACAGAATTTTCAGACACCTAGATGGACATGATTTGTTGTACAACGTGGCTTTTGTAAAAGGAAATAAAAAATACTTTTCAAAGCAGGCAAAGCCTGTCACAGGGCTGAGAAATAGAACCTTCAGCTGCAACTGGCTCAGCTGCCTACACAACTGAGCTGCACCTGCTACTACAGAGCGTACACTGATTGATGTGGCCAGGTTTCCATTTCTCACTATGCAGGATTTGGGCTAATGGAGCTATGTAAACTTATAAACCAATGGCTGTGGCCCCAGTTCAATCCCTTCTTACATGGGGTTCTCTACAAGCAGGTTCCTCTGGAATTGAATGTTAGTCTGCTGAAAGCAATGTCAAGATTTGATCAGTTCAATATAGTTTCACCTCAGGCTGGTTCTGAGAGTTCACTATGATTAACTGAAGCGGGTACTCACTGTTTTTAGGGAAACCGATAATGTGCAGAGCATACAGTTATTCATCGTAACCACTTGCAAAGTGCTGATTTTTACAGCCTTCTAAATGCAGTTTTATTTATTTATTGATTGAGCACCTCAGCGTGTGTGACATTGTGCTAAACACAAGCTTGATAAATCTTCCACTGTCTGGAGTGTCTCTCACACTTAGACTAATTAACTGAAAAGCAAAAGCATTTAATGGTATAAAATGTCGGGGTGGGGAGGAGAGAGGGGGCTTGTGTAACTCAGTGAACATAATTATAAAAGCAAACTGGGTTTAAAAAAAACACAGATTCTGTACTGTGCTTGTTGAGGAACAGATTCTGCTCCTCTTAAATTAATTACTTTACTCTGCAAGTGACTCCAATGGGATTAATTGGATTAAGGTACAACTCACGGTGAATAAAGTATGGCAATATGTGGTCCATGACATGTATTTACTCTGAGGGCACTTGCTAAATTATTAGTGTTACTACCAAGGGATCTCACAATACTGGGTGTTTGGGCAACAAAATGGCAGATGAAATTCAAGACTGATATGCACAAAGTAATGCACATTGTAAAAAAATAATTGCAACTACACATATCACCCTGGGTAGTTATCTGAAAACTTCAGCTCATTGTGCAGCAGTGGTCAAAAAGGCTATCAGGAAAGGTTTAAAAAAAAAAGTCTGAAAAGATCATAATGCCATTATATAAACCTGTGGTGCACCCTCCTCCCTTGAATCCTATGTCCAGTTCTGGTCACCCCTTCTCAAAAAGGATAGAGTGGAGCTGGAAAAGATTCAGAGAAGGGCAACAAAGATGATTAAAGGTATGGAATGGCCTTCATATGAGGAGAGACCAAAGGGTACGTCTTCAATACCCGCCAGATCGGCAGGTAGTGATTGATCTATTGGGGATCTATTTTATCGCATCTAGTGTAGACACGATAAATCGATCCCCGATTGCTCTGCCGTCGACTCCGGAATTCCACCACGGTGAGAGGCGGAAGCGGAGTCGACGGGGGAGCGGCGGCAGTCGATCCTGCACCGTGAGGATGCGAGGTAAGCCGAACTAAGATGCATCAACTTCAGCTACGGTATTCTCATAGCTGAAGTTGTGTATCTTCAGTGGATTTTCCTCCCCCGTCCTCGGAGGTGTTCCGAATCAACTCCACAGTCTGGAACTGTATTTTGTGAAGTCCGGTGACTTGATAATCGATTAAACAAAATCCTGGATGCAAACTACCCTGAACCTGGGGAGTTTCAAAATCTGTATTAAAATGCTGGGACTTGTTCCTGTCTCTTGTTTTGTTAACATCAGCAGGAAAATGATTGTTCAGATTCTCACTCAGCCATTTTATGATTTCAGGGCAGTCCAGGGCCAAGAGGACTCCCTGGTGAGCGTGGTGAGAGGGGCTTACGAGGAGATCATGTAAGTTTTCCTAGGTGCAAATCTATTCTATATTACACATGTATGACTCTGTGGGGTTCACCCAGAGCAGTAAGGGAGGGAGAGGTTGTGTCACCCTGGGTGCTTCTGTGCTGTGCAGCTTTGGCTCAAAGCCCTGGCACCAGCAGCCTGCTCACAGCACAATGGCCTCACCCTGGCTGCCACCAGCCTGGTTACTCCTTGCAGTGTGACGCCAACAGCCCTTCCAGTCCTGAGTCTCCCCAAAACCATCTCCCCTGCAGTGTCCAGATCTTTTCACTGGATCCTCACACAACTATCAGGTTTGCTGCCTCCAAAGAGCAGAACACATACCAGCCTGGTAGTTTGGCTGAGGGATTTTTAACCTTCAGTTTAATACAGAGCGCTGAGATGGTTTTGTAATAAAACAAGAATAAGTTGATTAACAAAGAACAGAGCTTTAAGTGATAATAAGTAAGACTAGAAGAGACAAGTTTAGTGACAAATCAAACAAAACCAAACCTGCTTTCTAATGACTACAACTTAATTTCAGCAAGTTGCAATCATTGTCTAAGCAGGTTTCTCCCCTGTAGTCAGTTTCTAGCTACTCTTTCCTCCTGGGCCAAGAGGTTCCACTTTTCATGCTGCTCCCCCTTGTCTCCTAAGTGATGGATACCCCAAAGTCTTTAGCAGTTGCTTATATCCTCAAAGTTTATCTTTGTTTTCAAAGTCAGGAAGCCCAAATGATCTTCCTGTGATCCTTCAGGCAAATGATTAGCCCGTTGTTCTTGGTCACACCTGTCTTGATTTGCAACTGAGCCCAAGAGGAATTGGTCATTCTTCTTTGTCTGGAAAAAACCTGTTTTGCCTTGTTCATCTGTTGACCGATTCTAAAATATAATATCAGAGAGTATCTATAATTTCACATACAGCGTTATTACTTACATTTCACAGTGATATTAATCACCAGCATGGTGTTTTCAAATGATATGTTACAAGACGCTTTTTAGACAAATATTGTGTGTGAGGTGCAGAGAGCTGGCCAGGCCAATTGACTCCTAGTCCTATACCACAGGGCCCCTTGGCATTGGGCTGCTCTTAGGATCACAACATTAAGGATGTGAATCTAATCTCAGAACCTCACTTATGGTGCACAAGAAAGTGAATAAACTTGCAGGGAGTAAAAGCATCTGTTCAGATCTGCATGGGAATATGATATTCTTTCAAAGATATGTTAGGACAGACGTGCGTGACTATTGTACTGTAATCCCAACGATGAGGATAATAGATCACATAAACCTAGCAGATCTTAGTCTTTCACAATAATTATTTTCACATTACTTATCTGAGACTAGTACATCTGGGACATTTCATGAGCCCAAGATATCCCATATGCTATACTTTCTGGAACAAAAAATGCACATGACCCTCCTTAAATGCCTAATCTCAACACCATGAATTTGTCTACATGTGGCTATGCAGATCTGTCAGTTGCCTGAGAGACCTACAAGAAAAATCCAGTACTATGGGACATCCTGTGGATTTATGATACTCTCTTTGTGGGGATTTTGTATCCATTCACTAGTGAATGAATTATGCTTATTCCTACACCAGTATGGAATTGTATTGCCCTAGGTAAAGATACCATGATGATAAGCAGTGTATAAAGGTAATCTTTGTCAGACATGACATAGGGCTAAATCCTGCAGTCTTTTCCATTCTTCTTTCAGGGCCCAGTGCTGAAAGGTGCTGAGCATCCACTGTGAGATATGACATGCTGTCAATTCCCATTGAGAGTAAATGGGAGTGGGGAGCACTTACCTCTATTCCTCCTCCGTGCTCGTACTTTTTTGAATCAGGACCATTGTAGGCTTTAGCCTTTGGATGGTGATCTTGTACTGTTGAATGATTACTTATAAAACAGAAGAAAAATGTACAGCTCAGGATGAGGTTTGTTTTTTAAATAAACCAGAATATTCCTCTGTTTCAGAACATAATATTTAGGAGAACATTGATGAATGGAAATTACATAATGTGTGAAAAGGGACTGCAGTGTTTTCTTATGTTTATGGTAGCGTGCCTCTCAGGGAATTGAAAGAGTTCTCACTCCACTCCTTGAGTGGCATACCCTGAGGGCTTTCAGAGTAACAGCCGCGTGACCTGTCATAGTCCACAGGCCAGCTTGTGAGAGTCTGACTTCACTGAAAGGTGTGTCATATGTCATGAAATGCTGCAGCCCTAGCTGCTCATCATTGTTGTACTTATTGGTCAGGTATAGCATTGCTGGGCCAGGTGAAAATTAGGAATGTAACCATCACAAATAGAATATGAGAAATGGAGGGGAAATATTACAAATACGTTGTATTTCCTGTTTGTTCATATCTTGAATTAGCTCCAGGACTCTGCGGATTCAGCTGAAGATAATGTATTTCTCATATAATTCCAATCAGTTGTTTGTCGTTGTTATAATTATTACTATTAGTTTATAGTAGCACCCACAATTTGCTAAGGACTTCTCTGACATTCTAATAGAGGTGGTCCCTGCTCCAAGGAGCTCACAGTCAAAGGCTAGAGGCAGACTGGCAGGCAGAAGTTAGGGGAATGGGAAAGGAAACAACGAACAGTGATGTCTTTAAATTCAAGTCAGTTAGATGCACTGTAAACAGCTTGGCAAAAGTGGGACTTTAAGGGGGAAAGAGGAACAAGGTAGAAGGCTTGCCAATGGTCTCATGGAGGTTGCATAGGGGCTTCATGGAAAAAGGCGCTGAGGTGGTTGTGTGAGAAGCTGACACATGAGCAAACAAGTGGGATAGGGGTGAGGGCAGGACACATTGATAAGCTTGAATAAATAAGGAGATGCAGAATTCTAGGATGCCAAAGTGGATGGGGAGCCAGTGAGGGGAGTGACCTCATCAAATCAGTAGGGAATGAAGATGCATTCTGTCTGGTGTGACCAGGGGCGGCTCCAGGCACCAGCACGCCAAGCACGTGCCTGGGGCGGCAAGCCCTGGGGGCGGCCTGCTGGTT